GAGAGAGAGGGGTGGGGGAGAGAGAGAGGGGGAGAGGGCAAAGAACTGCAAATGCCGTAGAGCACTTAGGAGCTATAAGATAGTTTAGAGCTTCAAAGCCAAGGAAGACAGCCTGAACTTAGCAGGAAGTGCCGCAGTTGCACATTTGTTCATTTAATCAGCAGTTCCTCACACAGCAATATATGCTGGGGGTGACTCCTTGCTCCCCGCTCGACCGTAGAGCTCTTAGTCTAGGGTGGAAGATGTGTTAAACACGCACTTATACAAATAAGTGTTATTAATGGGATAGTATAAAATAACAACAAAAAAGTGTATTAAAAACAATTTGTACAAGACACACATTAAATACATACTCCTACAAAGAATCGTTACAAGTATCTTGATGACAGGGTGGCTTTATTACTGTGAAGTGCTTCCTAGCGTGTTCTTTTTACAGTGCCGGAGTTCGGAGGTAACACAGTTAACTGTTGAGGTTGGGCTCTTGGGCTTCCCTGGCTGTGACTGGCCCTGTCAAACAGCGAGTCCCTGTAATGTCTGGCTCCGTTGCTGTGCACTGTCACCTTCACAGGAGACGCCAGAGGCTGAGGGTCCACTTGCTGTTCTTATGGAGCCCGCCCCCGGAGCCAGCGGAGGCCTGTGGGGAAACAACCAGGAGGAGGTCAGGTGACTCAGTAAACTACCCGGGTTAGCAAAGCTGCCCTCTGTGGGCCTTGGTTAAAGTAGGTGTGGTGTTGGGAGCAGTTTCTCTAGTCAGGTACTTTGTACTGGAGAGTCAACTTGACTTTTATTTTTAAAGCAGTTATTTAATAATCTTTCCTTCCCAGGAATTCTAGATACTTAGTGTCTTCATCTTGTCCATTTAGGTCTGTAACCTATGAGTTCTTGAGGACTTTTTGATGTGAATTCTGGTTAGTAAAGGAAGGGGAAGAAAGGGAATTATTTGGGAGCAATTTCAAGTTTGGTAAGTTTTGCTGCAGTAACAAATAGATCCAAACATGTAGTGAGCTCAGTAGAAGTTTATTTCTCAATCCCGTGACAGTCTGAAGAGGTGCCAGGTGGTGGTGGTGGTTGGAGCTTGTGTATGTGTATACGTGTGTGTGCGTGCAGGGTTGCGGGGGGGGGGGGTCTTTAAAGCACTAACTGGAGGACTCAGGCTGCTAGAGGCTCTTCCATTTTGAACACGTGGCTTCAAGGATGTCCTGGGAATCTGCTTCCCAGTTAACTGGAAGAGAGGAAGAGTGGAGGAAAAACCTGGAGGAGGCACGCGCTGCTCTTATTTGCACTCTGCTGGCTAATGCCCAGTCGTAAGGCGATGTCCAAATGCACACAGAACTGGGACGTGTAGACTGGCCGTGTGCTCAGGGAGAAGAGGAACAACAGTCTTTGCAACAAAATCTGAAGCACTCAGTTTTACTTTCTCTGACTTGTTTCGTTGTTTTTCAATAAAGATGATTAAAAAAATGAAGCCAGGCAAATGAAAGCGTAATGGGGGAATCATAGCCATGTACTTCTCCTTCAAGCATTTGAACATGTGTTACTTGTGAAACGATGTGCCGAGCACTTTGCAGGAGGAGCTGGAGAGACGTGCTCCTTGCCTTTTGATGCCCAGCAGTGGAGCTTTAGTGAGGGAGCTTTAGTTCCAGGGACTTGTCTCATCCCATCAGAGGAGTGGAGTGGGCTGGGATGCAACAGACCGTTGTCAAGGTGAGGAGATTCGGGGATTGGTGAAGGGACACACTCCAGGTAATGACCACCTTGAAGTCTGCAAGGACCAGGAAGCTGGGGTGCCAGTCTGCTGAGTGTGGGCTGAGAGCTGCGGCTTAGCAGAGATGCGTGGGTCCTGGAAAGGGTGACCCCAGGAGTGGGGGACAGAGAGAAGTCACACCACAAGAAAGCCGTCACAGAAAAGGCAGTGTGTGAATGGGCTCACTTGAGCCTGGGCAACTTCCGTTTGACAGAATGGTTTTTGTACATTCTCAGTGTTCTACTGGCCTGACACCTGAGGGCTGTGACACATTTATATTAGTCACTATGGAAGGGAGTCAAAGAGAGGTACAAATACCCAATTTGGTTGGGAGGGGATCGGCTGGAGCATCTCTGGGGGCCTCATACAGTTTGGCAAGCCCCACAAGCGATTCTGACCTCTCTCCGTACACGAGAACCCCCGGTTTAGACACGGCTTCCCTTTGTGTGTGTTCCTCACGTCTCACCCTTTAACTTCGCTCCCCGGAGTCACACACAGCTTCTAACAATAAGTGCCCTTTCAGAGGGGTGTGAAATGTACTTGCTGTGTGCGAAGGGAGGAATTCTGTTGGGTTTGGGTGACTCAGGGAAGGAAGATTTTATGCAAAAGGTTGTATTTGAGCATCTTTATTTTGATAAAGTTACATTTGAACTGCTTTTTAAAAAGGCATATTAATAAGAATAGAAGGGTGATTAGAATTTCATTGTAGTGTATGTTTTTTTTTTTAAACCATTTAGCAAGAACATTAATGCTATTGAAATAAAACTGATGTGCCTTTTAGGAGACACTGAGATCAATGTGGTAGTCACATAATTCTTCTCACATTTCCGTTGCTAGGTATGACGTAGGTGTTGTCACCTTCAACCCGGATGTCATGAGTACTTAATATATATTGCGTCATTCTGTGAATTCAGTATGGTGGGTTATCATAATCCTCATTTTTATAGGTCAGGGACTCAATCAGGGCTTTGGTGATGGGTACACCTGCCAAGTGTAGGAGGCCTTCTGATGCACCACACGGCCTCTGTGGGCTTTAGGGGGACATTAAGTGACTTGTGTAACTGGAGGAGGTGGACACAGGGCTCCTGGCTCCCAGTGCAATCAATGCGTCACAGCCCTTACTTATTTCTTAGAGACCTGAAATACAGTTTAGTTTTCCTGACCTCTAGCTCAAGTTAGAAAAGTTATTTTTGATACGTAAATCCAATAAAAGTGCCAGCTCTACCTCCCAGCCAAGTCATGGCTCAGGTAACACCATTCCAAGTGTATAAAATAGATCAGCAGTCCCCAACCTTTTTGGCGCCAGGGACTGGTTTCATGGAAGACAATTTTTCCACAGACTGGATGTGTCATGGGGGGGGTGGTACAGAGCTCAGACAGTGATGGGCAGCCCGTTTCCTAACAGGCCATGGACTGGTACGGGGTTTGGGGACCACAGATATAGATAACTTAGTACACAAAAGCCAGAACTTCCCGTTTAGGTACCCCTCTCCCAAGGGTTAACCTTAGCTCCTTCCGTGGCTTCTTGCCAGAACACACTGGAATATACCAGAACTCTCTGGAAGCAGAATATTATGTTCCAACACTCCCATTAGCTCTTCCTTTTACTCCTGTGCCGTTAGATTTCGGCAAACGTTTAATCTTCTCAAAAAGCATTTTAGATTCAGATGTATATTATGATACAAATACATAAATAAAAATCTGTCCATATTACCTACTTTTTCAAAACAGTGCCTTGTGGGGTTGAGCTTTTTGTTGAGACAGAGTTTTGCTCTGTTGCCCTAGCTGGAGTGCAGTGACCCAAGCATAGTTCACTGTAGCTTTGAACTCCTGGGCTCAAGCGATCCTTCTGCCTCAGCCTCCCGAGTAGCTGGGACTACAGACATGTGCCACCATGCCTGGCTAATTTTTAAATTTTTTGTAGAGATGAGTTCCCACGATGTTGCTCAGGCTGGGTTTGAATTCCTGGGCGCAAGCAATCCTCCTGCCTCATCCTCCCCAAATGATGGGATTATGGGTGTGAACCACTGCACCTGCCCAGGGCTGAACAATTTTGATGTTCTCTTGTCTGGTGTGGCATCTTTGGGGAGGTCTCCCTTTGGGTCTGCCCTTCGCCAGTTCCGCGTGAGAGCAGATCTGCAGCATGTTCCTGGCGATCCAGGGCCTAGGCTTCTCTGCTTCCCAACCTGACACTTCCACCTGCTGTCCTTGTCAGCCTCGTTCCCTTATTCCGTATTCGTGGAACATGTACAGCATTGGTTTATTTGGGCTGCTATAGCACAATGCCATAACGAAAAATAACAGAAATCTCGTCTCAGTTCTGGAGGCGGGAAGTCCAATAGCAAGGTGCCGGCAGATTCCGTGTCTGGTGAGAGCCTACCTCCTGGTTCATAAATGGTGCCTTTTCTCTGTGTCCTTATGTGGCAGGAGGGGTGAAGGAGCTCTCTGGGGCCTCTTTTATAAGGGCACTAATCGCATTCAGGGGGCTCCACGCTCATGGCCTAATCACCCGCCAAGGTCCCTGCCTCCTAATACCATCACCTTAGGTGGAGAGGATTTCAATATATGAATTTTTGGGGACACAAACATCCAGTCCATGCCGTGTGCTATGTGCAGAGGGTACAGGATTGAATAAAGTGGACTAGTTGCTTATTTTGGAGCGCACTTACCGTCTTTAACTCTTAGTTGTGTGATTAAGACATCTCTATCTAGTTGACTGTCATTTTGAATACCTGAGTATTTATTATTAGGGCACTACTGCCTGCAGTTAGTTGGCTGGGGAAGGTTGGGATAAAATCATTCTCATACTTACAGAAAAAGTTCCGGGGTTCATCCTACATGTATGAGTAACTCTTCTACACAAATCTGGCAGCTCCTTCTGTATAACCGTGTCCAAATTTAGGAGTATGTCAGACTTGGATGGGCATCAGAACCCTCGACTGAGCCTGACGTTCTAATTGGTTGTGTGTTTCCGTTCACTTTCAGAATCCTTCTGTGACCTGACGTACCCTTCAGCTGAGCAGCCTGCAGCTGGCCTCAAGGTCCTGGATCACATAATATAAATTTGAGTGGTTTGATGTTTATCTTGCTCCTTGGTGATTTTATTCATGAAAGCCTTCCCTCTTCCCGGCCAGTTTGGCAGTAGACGTTCACCTCCTATTTAAGTGAGACATTCTCTATTGGTAACTTTTCTCTGACATCTCCAGTTCTAATTATAGGCATCGTACTTGCCAGCTCTGAAGCAATTGGGAATATGTGAAGAGAGAGCAAAGCAGATACCAGTCTGTTATGTTGGATTTATAGGGTCTTTGGGTTTGTTGGCTGGAGTCCTGTAGCTGCTCCTGTAGTTAAGCCAACTGTGTGTGGAGCACCTAACCTTGGATTTATCTGTATTCTGGATGTCCCATTGTAGCTGTACCTTCTCTTTTTTGCCAGTATGACCAGAGGTCCCCATTCAGGCAAAATAGTAATTGAATTATATTTGTAATATGAAGGGTTTTGAACAGAAAACTAAAATTTCATGTCTTATTTTTAATTTTTAAAGTTTTAATTTTGGAGACAAGGTCTTGCTCTGGCCTCCAGGCTGGGGTGCAGTGGTATGATCGTAGCTCACTGAGTTCACTGCAGCCTAAAACTCCTGGGCTCAAGCAATCCTCTTGCCTCCTGAGTGGCGGGGACTACAGGTGCGTGCCACCGCACTTGGCTAATTTTGTTCTAAATTTTTCCTAGAGACAGGATCTTGCTATGTTGCCCAGGCTGATGTTGTTTCCTGCCTTGGCCTCCCAAAGTGCTGGGATTACAGGTGTGAGCCACCACGCCTGACGACATGTCTTATTTTTTAGAAGAGAACAAACAGACTTTAAGCATATGTTTTTTCCCAATATAAAAAAATTTCAAAATTTTTTTAATGTAGAAAGACTTTACATTCATATTTTGCCTTTGTGTGAATAAGACCGTTGGTATTTAGTGTAGAGAAACTGCTGTACAACATTGCAAAATCATTACAGCAGAGGGGCTATTTGGTTTTCTGTTCATAGTAAGTAGTTGAGACATGTTACTTGTTATTTTTTAAAGATATTTCCGATAACACAGAATTGGCTATAACTGGGCTGCTTTTGTACTTCCTGTCTTGTCATTTGATGGCATCTTTATAATCTGAAAGGTATTTCAATGTTTTATGCAAGTTATGAAAAGTCAGATGAGCCTTGTTAAATAGAGGAAGCAGATCAGTGTGTTTGCATAGGGTTTTATAGTTTGACAAACGTTTTTGGGTGTATTTTCTCATTTAATCCTGATGACAGCTCTAAGACTTACAGAAGTGAGGTGACCTGAAGCGATAGAGCGTCCAAGTGGCCAGCCGAGGGCCACGCCCAGTTCTGGCAGGTGCACACGGTGCTGTGCCGCGTGCCTTAGAGGGAGCACTTCCCGAAATGCTGCTGCCGGGGCGTGACAGGTGTCACACTGCACCTTCTGGGTTCAGGTAGTCGGAAGTCTCCAGCATCCTCTTAGAGGGGCTTGCAGAACTATTTTCGTGCATAAAATTGTTTTTTGAAAAGTCTTCA